GCTCCCCAGCAGCCTGGGGCTCCAGACCCCTCCCCAGCTCCACTGCCCTTCTCTGGACACGCTCCAGCCCCCCCAGGTCCTTCGGGGAGGGAGGGGCCCAAAACGGAACACAGTATTCGAGGGGCGGCCATCAAGGTGCTCATCACGGGCCCCTACAGTCAAAGTTTCACCTCACTGAAGATAAGCCCCCTTCTGCAACCTTCTAACCTCACACTGGAATGAGTTCTGTCAGGCACCGGCAGCACGTACACAGACACCCTTCTGAAGCCAAATAACTTACTGAAGTCACTAGGAAGACTATGGTTCAAGTTTCTATAAAATTCTGTTCTATGGGCTTTCTTTAGTCCAGTACACAGACCAAAATCTGAGAGTTTTACGTGGCCCTAGAAACAAAGAAAAAAAAAAAACAAAAAAAACACACAACAAAATACAAACCCAGTATGAGACATTGTCATAGCAAAGTTTCCTACTTCTTCCCCTCCCTTTATTTTGTAGAATAAATAGATGCTCTCTTTTTGCATCCCTTGTTTCAGCCCAAGACTGGATGCGTACATAGTGTCAAGCTATTAATAGTTCCATTGATACTGCTCAGAGAAAGCCCAGTTTACTTGAAGAAACCTCTGCTCCCACAAGCCTCTGGCCGCTTCAGAGCGAAAGCAGACATCTCCAGAGGGAGCTGTAGTCCCTGGATCGTGCGTTGACCCCGGCAGATAAGGAGAAGCACCTTGAATTCACAGATTGGATCTGTCATAGTGCATAATGTGACCACACCGCCTATGTGCCATTTTTAGATGTGTAACTAAAATATACGTACTTTCCAAAGTCCTAAATTTATCTACGTCTGGATGTAGGCATAGTGAATTACATCAGTAATTCCAACAGTGCCTTGTTAGCTGGCTAGTGGTAAAATATAATTACACACTGTTGGCAAACTTTTTCCAAACAAGCCAAATTCTAAGCAAACTTGTCGTGAGCAACAGGAGGATGGTGAAATGATGGAGCTTTCTCAAACCGCCTCCAATAACCATCTAGAAGCAATCAGGTAGCGTGGCCAGCCTTCAGAAATACATCCTCATTCTGAGGGTGATAGTATCTCAGTTTTCAGTTTTGCTAATGGAACAGCTACATCCTTCGCACCCGATACGATCATCTACCCAATAGCTGGCAAGCGTGAGCATAACAGATGTGAGACCAAAAGGAAACATCTTTGATGAGGAGGGGAGAATTGAAACTGCCTGTTTTAAATTGCAGCTGAAATAACCAAAAATAGCTTCAACAACTGTCGGAAGAGAGCTCGTAAGTGAGGTATGAATAGAGGTGGAGGAGAGGTCTTTCTTGGCTTGCAGGTTGTTTTTTTTCCCCAGCAACATGGCAGATACAGCCTCAAAAGCTAGAAGGAACAGGGCTAAGAAAGAAGCCCCGTCTTCTCTTTCACAACTGTAAACACAGTCAATATTAAAAATTACAAAATTACAAGACCTGCGTACTACTACCCAGCCTGTGGTTAGTACATACCTTGCTATCCAGAAGAAGGTTGTCCGGTTTTATGTCTCGATGGATAAAACCCAGCTGATGAATAGAATCGATGGCTAGCACAGTCTCAGCTATATAGAACTGGGTCTCTTCTTCCGTTAGAGTGTCTTTTTTCATCAACAGTGTCATCATATCACCTGGAAGCCACCCCACAAATAGCAAAGGTAAATACAAGCGCGCGCACACACAAACTCCACTCTTGCTAATTTGGAAGACATTTGCAAAGGAAAGAATTAAGCTATTTAAAACCTCAGGAAATCCAAACTGATTTCATATTAAAGTAACAGAATTCTGCAGCACCTCTGCGACAAACTCTTATATCTCTCCTTGTGTCCCATTATGTGGAAAGGCTTGTATGCAGTTGCATTAAACCTACAGAGGGAGCTACATAGCATGAAGATGAAATAACAGTACAGCAACATCCCTTAAGAGGCAGCTATGGACCACCACGCTTCACTACACATCTGAATGCCAGATTAAAGTAGATAGTTTCAGCTACAGAGCTGTTACAAAAAACAGATTGCATTTGTGCAGCGTCATCTCAGAAAGCATTCCTGTGGTTTCATTAGTCACATATATTACAGGCTTTCAGCATAACTTTCTTAAGTGAATTACAGTAGCATTATCACTCAAGGACAAACATCATCATCCTCTGAAAAAAAAAGGGCCTTAAAAGTTACTCTTGCTGCAAACCAGCTAAAAGCAAAAGGTTAGAAAAATCAACAGCTGGTTATGTTATGGATCTATAGATACCCCGTGCACAGTCACGACAAGAACCAGCAGAACATTACGGCTGAATTTCAAACATCTGTAGCTAGAAGACCCAAGCAGATAACCTCGAGCCTGACCCACAGACCTCAGCACCCTTAACTCTGAAAGCCGAAAGCTTTACAGCGACGTGTTTGCTCACAACGTAACATCCAGTATCAAACACCGCTGTACGGTAACCACATACGCTCTCGTCCCAGCCGACATTTGTAAGTTAGAAATCCACAAACAAGAGGAAAGCAATCTTTTGATTTCCGGTGGTTACCTCCAGGCAGGAACTCCATGATAAGGTAGAGGTTTAGCTTGTCCTGAAAACTGTAGAACATTTTCACAACCCACAAACTGTCTGCCTCCACCAGAATGTCCCGCTCCGCACGAATATGGCCAACCTGGAGATACACATACGCATTTGATTAATTACAAGTCTATGTTTTATTACATGCATTTATTTCACAGACAATTCAAGGATTATATTCAAAAGCATCAAATACTCAACAGACAGCAGTCAAAATCCTACATGAGGGCAGAACCACCAGCAAAGCTTCAATAGTTTCACCCCTCAATGTTTTCAGGTAATAAAAAAGCATAACATGTTCAAAATCAAATCCAAAAGTCATGCTTCTGACAGCAAAAAGGTGAAAAGCTTTCATTAAAACTGCTGTATTTTTCCAGAATGTTTCTTTTTTTTTTTTTTTTTCCCCAATCTGATAAATCCCATTGAACACCAACTCCATTTTACTCCTCAGACCCTCTACATTCAGGAGTTTCCACGGGGAAGTTTATGGGGACTTTTGCCTTTGGACATTTACACTTTAACATTAATACTTAGTATATGACTTTTGCTGCCATACATTGAGATGTACGTAGGAAGGGAAGAGAGCACTAACCTCATTCTTTCAAGCAAAAATTCAAGCCAGATAAATTTAAATCACCCTCCAGAACAACAAGGTTCTGTACAGAAAGTTAAGCCATGTTTATGGGGTTGTTTTTTTTCAATTCTTAGGGCTTTTGGGTCCCCTCCAAATCAGAACTGTACAAGCGATACGGGACACTAGGCAGACACTTATCTTAAAATCATTTTAATAACAGACCACTCCAAAACACGGTTTATTACCGTGGGATGATTCAGGAGGAGAAACATATGGCTGATTATACATAAAAATATCTCAATTTTTTACAAAAATACCTAATAATTAGATCTCTCAAAACCTAGCTCTTCTCAAAATAGTTAGCACGCCCTTCAGATACGGCTTCAGCCTGTTCCCACAGATGTAGACCACAGCACTAACTCCGCAGTGCTGCATAAAGCTCGTGCACGAACACACGGCTGTTTGGTTTTTTTAAACAAAAACTTTCAGAAATGGAAACCAGTTCCTGATTTTATGAGCACATGCACAGCGTTTCTTAGACTCATCCCAGTGCTGAACAAGAAACGATTGTCTCCGACCGTTGTATTTCCAGAAGTTAAACACCACTACTTTGTGCCTCTCTGAGTCAGAATTCCAGAGTCACATCACTTCAGTATTTATATCTGATTCCATAAATCTGACCCATAAATCAGAAATGTGGAAAAACGCCGATCTTGGCATCTCTACTGAAGCATCTGCACGTGTGTACATGTAACATAAATCATCGCAAAATGAGGAAGAGCATAAATCAGCTACATAGAACCATCCTTCTCTTTTGTTGGATATACAAACCTAGTCCTTAGGAAAATGCTCTGTTCCCTGTGTATTCAAGTAGAAAGCGAGTTCAGTCCCACCTTGCTTCAGGCTGAAGAGCCTCTCGTGCTGCTGTGGCCAAGAAGGCCAACAGGGTGCTGGGGTGCATCACCAAGGGCATCACCAGCAGAGATAAAGAAGTCGTTATCCCACTTTACTCAGCGCTGGTCAGGCCACACCTGGGATCCTGCATGCAGTTCTGGTCCCCGCTGTACAAAAAAGCTGTGGGCAGGCTGGAGGGGTCCAGAGCAGGGCCACCAAGATGATCCAAGGGCTGGGAAGCCTCTCTCAGCCGTATGGGGATGGACTGGGAGAGCTGCGTTTGTTCAGCCTTGAGCAAAGGAGGCTCAGAGGGGATCTCATCACCACGTACCAGTATTTAAAGGATAGCTACAAAGAAGATGGAGACCCCTTTTCACAAGGGGTCACATGGAAACAACAAGGGGCAATGGGTACAATTTAATCCTGAGATGATTCTGGTTGGACATGAGAGGGAAGTTTTTTACCATGGGAACAGTCACCCATTGGAATAATCTCCCCAGGGGAGGGGTTGACTCCACCACATTGGACACTTTGAAGACTCAGTTGGACAGGGTGCTGGGCCATCTTGTCTAGACGGTGCTCTTGCCTAGAAAGGTTGGACCAGGTGACCCTTGAGGTCCCTTCCAACCTGGAATTCTATGGTTCTATGATTCTTAGAAAAGACTGTTACAATTGCAGCTTCCATTAAGACTAAAGCAAGGCATCAGAGCTTGGTTGAAACACTGAGCATCCAGTTACCTGCACTAGCCTGTAAGCACTGCTGTAACCCTTGATATATTTCTCAAACTTCTGCAGTGTTACAAAGAATGCAAAAAGGAAAAAAAAAAAAAAAGAAACTTGAAAGAGCCCACTAGAAGACAGGTCCTTATGAATTCATACAAGATTTTTCTGACCTATTTCCTCTACAAAAAACGAGGAAAAAAACCCACGGAACATTTTAGCTTGTAAACCTAGACCACAGATGCTTATTATGCCACTCTCCACATCACAATTACCTCCCAGAGTCATCTGAAACATGGATGGTAGCATTGCTACTCAAGGCAGCTACTTACCTGCTCTTTTTCAAGCATGTCAGCTTTACGCAGTATTTTCATTGCATAAACATGCCCCGTATCTTTCTTCTGGACAAGTCGCACCTAGGAAGTATGCAAAAATTCAGATACAGGATTATCCCTACAACTCTTGACAAATTTGAGTATCAAGCCCTTGGCATCCATTTAATGAAATCATAGCCGATAATAAAACCAAAAAGCATTACCTAGCGCACAGTAATGACAAACAAGTTCTGTTAACTCTAAGAGATGAAGACATTTTAACAGAGATGACACATTGAGCAATCGTACACCCAAAGCAGAAGGCTCAAAGCCGCTTTCTCTGAGGAAGGCCACCAGAAGAGACTAGTGCAAGCGGCCCTCCAGCTCTCCCTCTTCCATATTTATTAGGTTTAAAGACAGAGGCACGTGACTGTTAAGCAATCTGCCACTGTTACAACATTTACCCTTCACTTGTATAAACTACGCAAGGCTTTAAACGTATTTTTAAATGGCACGGGTATTTGTTAGCCATCTTTTCTGGACTTACCTCTCCAAATGCTCCTCTGCCTATCACTTTCAAAGACTCAAAGTCTTCCAAACCAAGCCTTGTTCTCTTTAGGCGAAGAAACTCTGTTTCCTTCTGTGCATGTGCTGACCTCCTGATCCTTTTCTAGAGTTTAGGGGAGGAAAAAAGAAAAACCCCACAGTGAGGATTCTGCAGGTGGGCTCCATAGAGATCACAGCAATCCCACGTAAAGGTCCCAGATCTCCATTTATAAAAGAAAAATCGCTTGTATTTAACCATTAAGGTAATTTTCTTATATTCCTTACCTCTTCATCTTTTAAGCCTTCTTCTTCCATCATTTGTTCTAGCTTCTTTTGTCTATAGCAGAGACAAATTAGAAAAATAAAGGTTGAATCATTAACGTTGTTTCTTAATCACAGGCATCTATCCAACGCCTCTGGTCTAAGCTTGCTGCGAAAGGAGGGTGCAATGCCAGCACGTAACAAGTGTAAAAGGCACATAGGGGAGACTCAGACATGAGATTAATTTTGAGGAATCTAATATTACAGCTTTACCATTCTAGCCTTGTCACACACAGAATCCCAGCATGGCAAGGGTTGGAAGGGACCTCGGGAGCTCACCCAGTGCCACCCCCCTGCTCAAGCAGCCTCACCCAGAGCAGGGGGCACAGCACAGCACCCAGGTGGCATTTGAAGGAGACTCCACAACCCCCCTTGTCCACTCTAATTTTGACAATCTAAACCTGCCTTGAGCTTCACATCTTACTCAAGTGTATATTTTCATCATATATGAATGTAGATTGAGGAGATCTAGGTTCGATTCTTGTCTCTCTTTGACAGCTGGGTAAGTCACTTAAGACCACAGCCATAATAAATATTTAAACACCAAAGTCTCACTTATTCCAGGGAGAACTGGTTATTTAAACACATCTGTGGATCTGTGCTGTAAGTTCTCTGCATCTCCAACTCATCGTATACAGAATGAGAAAAGTTACTTCATATTTACTAATACCCAAAATGCTTGGGAAGAGGAAACATGTCTGTACACATTCTCCCCCTTCAAGAATCAGAAATATTTAGAGCCTTAGTAGAAAAAATACTATTTAGGAGAAAATAAAAAAGGAAGCAGGACTTCAGAGAGGGGAATGGTTTCAGAGGGCATGTGTAATGATTACCCTCTGGGAACTTTTTCTCCAACACCGATCATATTAATAGCTGGCTGAACTGGGACTGGTGTTTTGGGTTGGTTTTTTTTTTTTTTTTTCTCTCTCCATGTGTGTTTTTATTGCTATAACATTACAAATGTACTAAAAATTCCTTCTCCTTATGCAAGTCATTCTTCGCAAGATCCTCTTCCGGTCTCCTGGGCCACCACGCAGCTGCTGCGACGTGATAATATTTTGGGTTATCACTTCTTCCATCAGGCACATTTAAATCGCTCTGCCCTTATTTAAGTACCCAAGCGAGCCCTGCCTGGTCATCTCATTTCACAGTCAAAACAGTGACTCCAGTAGCAAAAGATGACTACTGCCATCCGCAGAATTAAATAGCTCAAATTAAATTCCCCCAAATATCCTTTACAGACCCTATCTGCACTTCAGCGCGCATTTTGTCAACACCATTTAAACTCCAAATTGCACATCTGCAGACACATCTGGTGTTAAAAAAAAAAAAAAAAGTGTAATTTGTAAAGTCCAGTTCAGACAAAATCTTGATCCTAAACAGAAAAAAAAACGTCACTGAGGTTTTAGAAGTAGACAACAGCGCTCGCAATAAAAAGCAAGAGCTATGCAAAGAGAAAGAAAGGAATTAAATCAGTGACATTTTCTGTTTGGATTAGACCTCAATCTCTCATTATTTATTTGAAGCTTTGAAGGAAACGTGCAGGCAAGTTAGTATTTATTTCTAAATTGCTTCCTCATTTCTACAGTTATTGTAGTTAGCAGGCATTCCTTTCGGATCGAGTTAGGGTTTTGGCAGGGAGTCTGCAAGGGAAGGAACACCGAACCTTTTTGAAAGTTCTGATTATAGACTACATGGCAAGCGGGGAGAACATCAGAAGTCCCAGCGCTACAGCTTGAGGGTGTTCAGCAAATTAGAGGGTTCCAGCCAAAGGAAAGTAACAGTAATACTTCCCAGTTAAATCGCTTGGTATATTTTGACCGATGTATTTCAAGAGATGCCAAAGGTTCAGCTAACTCACAGGCAAGAAGTGAGCACTTGGTGACAGTCCAGCAATCCATCATTGCCTTTGAACAGATTCTCTTCCTTTATCAGCTGACTCGATCACACATTATAATCCAAACTGAAACCGATACTCTAGAGCGAGTTTTAAATATTACAACCAGGGACAGAAAATGGGAAGAGGCAACAGAACAGACATGGGCAGGATAAACATTTGTAAACGTTGGTTTTCTACCTCAGAATTGTACTCGAATCATCCCAAGCACATCCCTAAAGTTAGTTTCTACTTAGTCACACAATCAAATACATGGGTTTTTAAAAGCTTGCTAACCATCATCTCCCTTTTGCATTTGCTCAAAAATTACTCAAAAAGCTCCGGCCTAAACTACCGTGGGATTCAGAAACCCAGTGGTTGCCTCCGGCTGCTCGTGCCAAGCCCCATCCCAGGTACCCACTCAGCAAAGGCCACCTGGTTTTGCTTCGGCTCCAGAAAACTAAACGCAGTTAATATCCATTACCCGGTTAGGAAAGGAAGCAAGAAAGAGTTTTACCTCATCTCTCGTTCTTCGTGCTGTGCGATGAGATTGCTGTAGAAGTTTTCTAACGTCACCTTCGTCATCGTAACTCGCTCCTTGGTGTGATTACTCATGGACGAGCATGGCGTCGGGCCTGTCATTGCCATGGCTGTTGGGAAAGAGAAAGGGAGGAAACATTTGACATTATAAATGACAAATAACCTTCACACGAGCATTGCAGTCACTTAAGCGATGCTGAATCACCGAGTTCAGATTTTAACAACAAACGCTAACAGCCCAGTTGTCTGAACTAAGTAGGGAAAAGTCTTACAAAATGAAAGGTACGAACCAAACTTCCTGTTTTGACCATTTTTGATGTGAAAATAAGAGGGAAGGAAACTTAAGAAACATGATGCCTCAAACCCCACAATTTTAGGCAGCGCTGTTATTTCTCCCAATATATTCTATCTTCAATCAATATTAAAAATTCAGACATATCACACAAACATCTCATCCAGCAGTTCCTCCTCCTACGACCCTTGCAGAAATAACTCCCAACAGTTGCCCGCTGCCTCTTTTGCTGTGAACTTTATTAAAATCCTGAAAGCCAACCCAATAACGGAGCCACGGAGGAAGGAGACAAAAAGGCATTTAGTTGCTTTTAAGCACTCTCACTTTTACTCGATGCTTTCACACAGAAATCTGGCAAAAATCCAGAGGACCACAGCCTTTGATCAAGTTGTAGCTTAAAAAAGAAAATAAAAAACCCAACCCACTACCCTGGTAGAAGTATCCTATATTTACATACTGGATTCTCTGCAGAAATAAATACATCAGAGTCTGCCCCTTCCAACCGGTAGCGCAGTTTCAGGGCGTATTTGACAACCCAGCTCCGCTTTCTAAAATGCATTAAAACGCAAAGATTTCAAGCGTAAAAATACCTCAGCCTCGCTCTCCTGGTCACAACCTAACTCGCAGTAAGGTAACAGAGTTTTGCAACTCTTACTAGAAATTGCAGACAGATATAGGTTAGATGCCCACTTCCCGTTTTTACCATGCCGGGCGCTGGCACATTTGAGGAGTTATTCTTTTTCTGTTTACTTTTTGCAGCTCTTCACAAGGCATCATTATTGTGCCTTTGCAAATCATGCCCTTTACGGACACCAACTATTTTGTTTGCTGCGCTTACAGGCTCGTTCACGGAAAAGATAACAGCGTGGGAGCCGGTAAGAACCTCCAGCTCTGTGTTTTCGGAGATGGAGCTGTGTTTTTACGGAGGAGCAGCTCCAAGTGACACCGCGCCGGTGGCAGGTCACCTTCTCCGCACACCCCCAAGGAGATGGCACGGTACATCCCTGCGCGCTGTAAGCAGGTAGGTGTGAAAGCCATGCCCCTGGTTTTCACTTCCTAAGGAACAGAATATGAAAATTATCTGGCAAAAGGGGGTTACACGGGGGTGCGGGGAAAACCAAACCAAACCAAAACAAAACAAAACAAAAAAAAACAAGAAAAAAAAAAAAGGGGAAGAAATGGGAAAGTAAGCGGCTGGAAGGCAGCAGTGCCAAAGCACCTATTGGGGCTCGGGTGCCCTCTCTGCTGGGACCGGCGCTCAGGGCCAGCCGAGAGCGGCATGGTGCCGGGCA